TTGCCCACCACCAAGAGCGTTGAAAACGTCTCCAGCAGTGTTGATGCGATCAGAGGCGACACCAAAATACCGTCCCGACCAGCGACAAAGTCGTTTTTAGGCGAGCAAGTAGACGAATCCGTCGCTGCTGTGAAGGAAACAGAACACACAGGACAAATTTATATCAAGTCTCTGCAGACAAGGGAGACTCCGTGGCGGAGCGACTAGACGATCACCTGCGGATCGGAAGGTCGTGGGTTCGCTCCCTGGCGGAGTCGAACTTTTTCAAAAATAACTTTGGCTTCCAGGTCAACCTAACCTTGAGTGGGTGCCGGGTACAGTCCCTGGAAGTGAAGGCGGCCGGCGTGATGCTGACCACATCACCCATCATGTGTCGATTGGTCTATAAAATATTGGTATAGCCGTATATGCCCTATATGCCTAAAAGTGTGGAAAAGGGTCCTATGCCCTATATGCCTAAAAGTGTGGAAAAGGGTCCTTTACTTACTTACTCTACAGACAAACTTACCAGCCCCCTAATGCTATGCATGGTGGCCTGCGCGTCGGGTCCTGCACGTCTGGTTGTAGCAAGCTCGCTTTCAAGAGCACAAATCAGACCCGCAGACGATTCGGCGAATTCACACACGGTGGAACGGACACTCACTGTATTGTGGACACGTTTTTGTTCGCGTTACGTTTTGAGCTTCATTCGCTGTGTTTTGTTTTTCTAATTGGTTAATTACCTGTGCATTTCTTTTTTTTTATTTTTTTAGTCAGGATTTAGAAACACAAGTTGATATATTTTAATGTGATATGTACTTTAATGATATTAGGGACCCCCCCCCCCCACCCCCCCCCCCCCCCACAAAAAAAAAATTGCGTTACAGTTGAGTTAGAAGAAAAACGGAGCACTTATGAGTTACACCCGTGTGCCGTTATGTTTATCCGTTGTTTAAAACCACACAACCTCAAAACCTTTTAAAAAATTTTTTTTTAAAGATTAAAAAGAAATAAAGCTTGTCAGTGACAAAAAATTTTCGGTAAGTGGTGCATTTCACTGATAACATCCCTGTGAAGGTTCAATGGCCGCACGAACCAAAAAAAAAAACAAAAAAAAGGGGGAGGGGGTGGCGGCAAGAGGGTGAAAAAATAACGAGATGGCAAAGGCGCTTAATAATCATAAGACTGTTTAAGTACGTGGTAGTAATAAACGAATAGTAGCAATATTACTAATTATTGTGCCGAATTGCTTAGAGAACAATCTTATAACAGATTTGAGATAATAGAAAGTGAAAAAGAAACCTGAAAGATAATTTCTATACATGCTTAGAGTGGCTACTTCGCTAACTAAAATTATTTATAAGAGGTGTTGGGGGGGGGAGGGGGGGGGGGTCTTATGTCCCTAGATTCTGGAACTCCGTAATTCCATATGTGACAGTTCTTAATTTTCACAAACCATGTCATTTAGCACGGGACAAACAATTACATAACTAAATTTTGAATCTTGAACCGAACACTAGGCGAGAGCTGAGATTTATCTGCGAAAAAGATTGACATTGTACCTTCATTCATTCACAGATTTATCTTCAGATTGAAGTATAGTTGGGTACTTTCAGTATCTTTTGTTAGTTTATTGCTTGTGGTTTGGTCTTTAAAACGTGGCTGTGCTACCACATTTGATGCTCGGAGATGGCGACAGATGTCGCTACTGACAGAGACTGCGATGATTCTCCGGGTCATTCTTCCATGTGTTCATCTAGTGCCCAAGGCAGTTCCGATCCCCAACCGCCTAATGTTGTAAACCAATTTTTGAAGCTGCTGTTAAGGTAAATTAAGTTCAGTGTTAAATTATTATATTGCAGACGATATAGCTGAGACAATAATGACGACAAAATCACAATGCCTTATATGTTCACAGTACACACACACACACAAACACACACACACACACATATATGTATGAATATATATATATATATATATATATATATGTGTGTGTGTGTGTGTGTGTGTGTGTGTGTGCCACCAGATTTCTTTATTGTTCTTTAGCAAAACAAAGTGAAGTCACACATAACTCAACAGTAAATACACAAAAAAGAATAAACATCATCATCACGTGCTCTGCCGACTGGAGTAGGCGTTTATTTATCTCCACAGATCTCAATCCCCTTGTTCTCTGGTATCCCTCCGTGCCGCCGTCGCAGTCAATCCGTCATCATCTCTTTCGATCTGCCCCTCATCTTTTACCATTTATCCTCTTAGTCTGTACAATATTTTTAGAGCCCCCCCCCCCCCTTTTCCCCCCAAAGAAAAAAACACACCCTTAATCACATGACCAAAGGACAGTGCATTGATCTGCTTTTATCAAAGACTAAACAGCCTATCATATATTGTGTGTTTCCTGCGACAATAATAAATTACAGACATTCATTAACTGGTGCCTGCGCAGAATAGAGGGAATAAAATGGTATGATAGAATAACTAATATAGAACTTTGGGAGAGAACTAAACAGCCTCCAGTGGATCAGGAAGTGAGAAAAAGACGCTGGCGTTGGATAGGGTACACACTGAGAAAACAGGAGAACAGCATAACTAGAATGTCTTTGCATTAAAACCCACAGGGGCATAGGAATAAAGGAAGGCCAAAAACACATGGAGAAGAGAGCTGGAGAAAGAGGTTAGAAAGATTGGGAGGACATGGGGAGAGCTCCATGCAATGGCGAAGGATAGAACGACTTGGCGTGAGTTGGTTGAGGGCCTATGCTTCATTGGGGGATAGAAAGGCAGAAGAAGACGAAGAAGACGGGAACAGTTAGCATTTACACCTGAAGACTTTGCTGCAGAGCATCTATGGGTAGGCCCAGTTTGCGATGATGCCGATTCTCAAATCAGTAATTAGCAATCAACATTCAAAAGGTTTGGTATTATTTCCTCTGTTTTTACTGTTATACTATTAGGCTTCTTTGGACCACCGTTACTAACACTCTTTTCTTCATTAGGAGCCTTAATGAGGGTTAAGTTTGTGCAATAGGTTTGCGCCCCGCAAACCTGAGTGCAACATGTGCTGTTCATTAGCCAAAAATATGGCCACAAAGCCATAGTTGCGCGTTTGTGTTCAGAGACACTGTTAGCGGGTCAAGTGAAAATCTGTTCAGAAAGTTTTCCCAATCCCTGTATGAGTTCCGGGGCCCCATTTGGTGGAAAACAAGAATAGGCCCACTGCCTCCCCAGCAAGCATGTCGTAGGAGTCGACAATTAGGGACTTCCATCGAAGTCGCAGTGCATCTGCCCGAGCGGCAAGGAACGACCAGCTGCACACAAATAAGCTAGTAAAATGGATGTACACACAAAACTCAAGTGTATGAACACCCATGACTTTCCGCCGGAGCCTACAGTCGGTGATCAAAGAAGAAGAAGAAAACGAATGTCAAGAGGGATGGCAAATGGTTCTGTTAATTTACTTGCTCGCTTTGTAGCTATTGCATTACCCACCCCGGTTATAAACACTCAGGCTCAAAACCTCCTCAAACCCACCCACGATGTACACAGCCCTTAAAAGTGAAAAGACAAACTGCGGCAGTAAAGTTAGTTTATCTGTAGCAGGATGGACGTTTTGCTGACATCGATTGTTTGGCAGAAGACAAATAACCGTAGAAGATCGATCTTAATAACCTTGGCTCGTTTATCTCCACAAATGTAACCGGTGTGGTTTCCTGTTTGACTGTGCACTGCTGTCATTGTTGTTAGCATCGCTATTGATTGTTGTTGTCAACAGAATCGTTGTCATACTTCCCCGTTACATAAACACATAATGAGTACTTTTTGCCTTTTATGCTCAAATGAGAAAAAGGGGTTGGGGGGGGGGGAGGGGGGAGGAGAGACAGGCAGAGAGACGAGAACAGCCACAGTCATTAAAAAAAATAGATACACAAAAGGTAGAGGAGGTGTGTCACAGATGTAAAAAAACATGACCAGAGAGAAAGAGAGAGAGAGAGAGAGAGAGAGAGAGAGAGAGAGAGAGAAAAGAAGAGAGAGGGGGAGTTACATGCATACATACAGACAAACCATACAGAGTATAGTATATATTTTTTTCATTTAAATACACAGCACATTTTGAGTAGTGTTTACATCGTTCAAAGAGCGGCTGCTCAAGCGGTAAAAAAGTAGAACTCTCATGCGGAAGATTCAGGTTTGAATCCTCTATAAGGGCATGGCAATTTTTCGGTCGCGGGTAAACATAAAATGCTAAACTGCACAATCCGTGGCGACAACGTTAGTCATGGGGCCCTAGACCTCAGGCGCAAGGACCACCCCTGTCCCCCTCCCTCCCCCACTGTTGCCTACAGTGCAAACAACTGAAAATAAAGGCAGTAATGGCAGTTTATGTCGTTTCCTCGTTTGTCGATTTTGTGTATAGCCGCACTCGACAAACTATATCCCACTGCTTATGTTTATTGTCTGTGTTATCCTTGAGCTTAAGGGTTAATGTGTTCCACACTCGTCACGATAAACAAGATTACAGGTAGGGCTGGCACTAATGGAAACAGAAGGATACACTAGATGACACAACAAATAGACAGCTTTAGTTACTATACTGGGGAATCCAACCTATACCCTCCAAATGAGAATAGAGCTGCGCTGCAGGAACTAATGTGCAACGAACCATGACCAGTTCGGCGCTATTAAAAATGAAATGTCTCTATTAGTCTGGTCTATCACAGAGCTCAACTCCACAGCTTTGGAATACGGTTATAATTCATTTCAAACCATTGAAATAGCACCATCTTCAACATTCGAGTTCGATTTCAGCTTTGTATCAAATTGTTGTTGTTGGTGTTGTTTTTACTATTTATTTATTTTCTACTACAATCGTCACATATTATCAAATCACCACCCTAGTTCTAACAAATTAACTCATTATGGCCTAACCGGTTTTTACATTAGCATATTTTATCGCGAGCGACATCTCTGGCTTTCTGTCTCGTATTGCAATTATGTAAATACCGCCTCGTCTTGAGACAAGTGCTATTTTTGATAGTAACGATTGCTGGGGACAGACGGAAGTTATTCCCCTTGTGTCCGCCAGGAGGAGACAATGTAACATGTTTTTGAGTAGATAGCTGTATTGTTAGTAGGGCTGTACCCAATAGTGATTTTCACTATTCGGCCGAATACGAATAATGGGACCAACTATTCGGCCAAATACGAATAGTGTATCATCATCATCAGGTGACTTGCCGACTGGTGTTGGCCATTTTGCCTCGACACAATCTGCGAACTCCTGCAGCATGTATCAGTTCGTGTGCTGACACACCTTCATGACATGCAACAAGACTGTCAAGAATCTTCTCTCGTTGTCTTTTTCTATCTCTCCTTCCATAAATATTTCCAGTGGTCACCACATGTTCCATTTTCACTCTTCTTATCAGATGGCCACAAAATGATGACTGTCTCCGTCTGATGTCTGTGATTAGTTGTCTTCGGGCTCCCGCCTCTTTCAAAACCTAGTGGTTGCTTTTTTTAGGCTGTCCAGGATATTTTAAGCATTGTTCTGTAAAACCACATCTCTGAGGCCTCAAAAAATTGTTTGGCCTGGCTACCGATTGTCCAGGACTCATAGCCAAATGTTAAAACTGAATGTATATAGCAAGCAAGACAAAGATATACTGCATAAGATTTTTTTTTTTTTTTTTTTTTTTTTTTTAAATAAAATGCAGTTTTTGCCTGTCCTGTTTTGTTTTTTATTTTAGTAAAGTATCTTTCATCTGATTTTATCCAAGTGCCAAATTCTCATTTAAATTATCGTTCGTTCAGGCCTTCGTTCGATGTAATTTAAATGCACCTTCATATTCTCGTTCGCAATATCTTAAATTTGATTTGGGAAAAGACACCCCGAAAGAACGAAAAATGCATGCTCTCTCTCTCTCTCTCACACACACACACACACACACACACACACACACACACACACACACACACATACACACATACACACAGATACACTTTCAAGTTTCTTCATGCCTTCTTTAACACAACAGTAGCGTTGCCTAAATATGTCGTAGCGGGGAAAACTGCAACCCGGTTGCGTGGTAACAGCGACTGCTGACTCCTCCAAGGCATTACAGCAGAGGTTCTAAAACTGGGTGCGTGTACCTGGGGTGCCGCGGCGAAAATCAAGAAAAGTCAGCTATAAATTGTGACATTATTAATGAGAGAGTTATTTCAGTCCATCGCAGTGTATGCAGAAATCACTATTCGTATTGGCCCGACCGCCACTATTCGGCCGAATACCGAATAGCTATTAGGTCCACTATTCGGCCCCGAAGCGAATACGAAGCGAATATTCGGTACAGCCCTAATTTTTAGTTTCTCTGATAAAGCACTGTTTAACTGGCCAAGCTCCATAGGTCTCATATAAAAATATAGTAAAACTACAGAAACGTAAAACAGTAATCGTACTTACCCGTGTGGGTTCCAGGTTTCCATGATGGGGTGGGAGTGCGGGGACGGGAGGAGGGTGGGAGTGGGGAGTGTAAAGAGCAGACCATAAGCACATTATCCTTAAAGTAAAGTAAAGATCCCTTTTCACGCCTTAGGCTCATCGGATATTTGGGAAGACCATCCCATATTTTTACAGACCAATATGCACTATGTGGGTAATGTGGTCAGCATTACGCCAGCCGTCTTTACTTTCCCAGGACAGCCATCCTTGCAAGCATTTTAGGTTGCGTCGATTTGCGACGCCCCAAACCATGATTAAAATTCACGCAATATTATATCCCGTATGTGTTTGTGGGGTGGGGGGACGGGACAACTGTTTGTTCACGTGTTTTTAAAATGGGACAGTGAGGAACATTTCATTAGATTTTCACCGGCACAGGAGCAGATCAAATATAGGGTGACCCGATTGCAGTGGAAGTTTAAACCTCGATTTTCACTAAAAAGTAAAACCCAACAATATAGGGATTAACTCGTGTCGTATTTGTTAGACTAAAAGTTATAGATACAACAGCCCTTGTCTGCATCCTATCACAACAAGCCGACCATCCTTTTGTGAGTAAACGTTGAAGGCGAACTTCGTGATGCCATTTCAACGAACCGTTGATGTCCTATATGAAATCTTCTGTTTAGAACTATGTTACCAAGAACAGGCCAACTGTCCCATAATAAACATATAGTGGAAAATAGATATTAGAGATTTTTAGAAATTGGACTTCTAGGATTGAAAGGTGTAGAAAACACAGCTAACGTCAGCAACGTTATTACGTGCCAACCATGTGTGGAGAATGATACGACTACAGAGTGTTCGTGTTAAAATGAAGAGTCATTCACTAGGTTTTTATTCATTTTGAGTCGGTCTACATTCGCATAGCGCTACTGGTCGTCCACCGTGAGAGTCGGAGAAAGAACGAAGTTTCGAATCTTCCTGAACGACCCCAGGTATCTCTGAAATACCTGACTCGTGGAAAGAGGAATGAACCTAATGTCTTCAGTTAAAACAAAAATAAAGCTTACCTTCTTGCATGGAAGACCATCGCCTGGGTTTCCAGCAGATTCTCATCTTCGTCGTCGTCATCATCACCATCATCACCACCATCGTCATCACCATCATCATCATCACCATCATCATCATCACCATCATCGGACTTCCGGTCTCGACATTGATATGGAATGGATGACGGATGAGAACTTGGCTTATGTTGACCGTTCTCGCCGCCGTTTCTCCTCCAAGTTCGCTGTAGCAAGATTGTGGAAGTCCGGTTTGCAGCCGGAGCTAAAAAGTTAAGGGCTCCTGGCGGCACTATGAGCTGTGATTATCGGTTATTGACTGAGTTCCAGATTCGTTAATAATGGCAATGATGGGTGATGTATTTTTTTCCGTTGTGTTCTTCGGACAAGGCGTAAGCTATAGCTGCTATCTATTTTCTGGCCGTGGCTGCAACTTGGCCGAGGACATGTGGAGAATGGTCAGGCATAGTTTTAATTTACTCATCGCCCATCTATTCGTCGAATGAAGTTGATTTTCAGCGATGGCGCCTGGTCGCGCAATGTTTAAGGAGGCTTGCACCTTATGTCGTGTGTGTTTTGCTGACAGAGGACATTTGTATGGCTACGGCATTTACTTGAAGTATCCAGCGTATCTGACTCAGTTTGTGACTGGAATGACTGGAATCACTGGCATAGGCGGTTGAGCTATTGTGGGTCAAGTTCGTTTGCTGTGATGCCGGAACCGTAACGACTAACTTACTAACTATCACCATAATCAAAACCATCATCACCACCATTATTATTATCAACATCAGCAGCACCATCATCTCCATCATCCTCACCACCATCATTATAATCATCAACATCGTCAGCTCTCTCATCGTCATCACCATCATTAACATCATCACCATTATCATAATCGTCATCGTCATCATCATCGCCGTCATTATCATCATCATCGACATCATCATTACTACCGTCATCATCGTTAGCATCATCGTCATCATCATCATCAGCATCATCGTCTTCATCGTCGTCGTTATCATAATCATCATTATCGTCATCGCTGTTTTCATCATCATCGCCATCGACATAATTATCAACATCCTCGTCCTCATTATCCTCATCATCGTAATCGTCGTCTTCATCATCATCATCGTCGGCATCATCATCATCATCCTCATCATCGTTAACGTTAGTCAGTTCGAGAACACGTGAAAAGAGTTCTGACCCAGACCACTCCCCTTTTTTTATTCGATGAATAGTCAGCTCTGTCTACATCGAGTCTCGGATTGACTAGTATGGATACTTGATGTCAGAAATGATTATTTACACTTCAGTTCTTTTTGTGTTTTCGTTTCTGCAATCCTGGGTCTACTTTTCAAAAGACCAAAGCCTGTCATGGTTAAGATCATATAAGACCACATGCTTTTCGTTCTGAGGCTGTACGCATGATGGTGTATTAATACTGTAACAGACTGTAGTTATAAACAAGTAATCGAATTTTGTTATAACTGTGTAACCTAATGCCATTATAAATGGATAACCTAATGGTGTTATAACTAGGTACACTACTAATGTTATTAGCTTTGCAACCAAATGGTGGTATAACTATCTAAGCTAACAATAACTATGTTACTTAATTTTGCAAACTAACGGTGTAACTTCTCTTCTTCTTTGTTCACCGGCTGTAATTTTCAGCAGAAGTTCTGAGGTGTTGGTCTACGTAGACGCTGGTATTGTGTAATGGCCTGCGTTTTGCATGTACATCCGTTTTACTGGCTTACTTGTGTGTTTTATAAGTTGGTTGTTCCTTGCCGTTTGAAGAAAGTCTCCAGCTAGTCAACTCCTACGACATGCTTGTTGTGAAGGTAGTGAGTATATTAATATTTTCCCATAATGGTGTCCAGCAATCACACGGAGAGTGGTAAAACTAGCTAAGCTTATTATGTGTCAGTTAATGTTGTTACTAACTGTGAAACCAAATGGTGCTTTATTATATAACACAAAAGTAAAGAACCTTTTTCCACGCCTTTCAGGCCTATTGGGTATATAGGGCTTGACCAATATTTTAAAGATCAAACGGCACTTAGTGGGTGATGTGGTCAGTCTCACACCGGCTGCCTCAACTTCCCATGACTATTTCTGGTAGCCACTCAAGGCTAGGTAGACCTGGGATCCAAGTTTATTTTTTGAAAAAAGTCCGGCTCCTGTCAGGAACCGAACACACGACCTTTTGATCCGCAGGTGATTGTCTAGCCTCAAGACCAAAACTGCTCTTTTTTTTTTTTTAAATATTATATAACTAACAGGGTTATTTACTATACTTTCGTTGCAGGAAGCACAGCAGCGGCGACCTTCACAGCCGATTAAAAACTAGAAAGCTGTTAGGAGTTGGCGAAACAGACGATGGAGACATCCATAGATCTAAAGTGAGTCTTCTCTCTTTGGCGAATATAATTTATAAATAAGTTAGTTACTTATCTTTTACAGGACGATGCAGAAGCAAATCCAATTTTTGTTTTGAGGGCTGTTTAGTTTTTATTGGATAATTTTTCGTTCAGTAGTTTCCTAAACGGTTGACTGTCAATGTCATTGTCGAAATCCAAATGCCTACTGAGTTCACGAGTGCCATTTGTACTGAGAAAGCTGGGAATAGTCACCGGAATTACGGCGTTCGTGCTCTGTGGTGGTGCTTTCAGGGGCTGCTAGCCGTTCTGCGGAGAGAGACCGAGCCATATGGGATATAACCCTATGCAGTAAACTTTATTTTCTCGACCTTAACCTTTTTTTTTAACCAAGTAAAGCAGTCTGTGCCAAACCGCTCCATCAGGAACTGAATTGCGTACTTTGGAATTACGAACCGTGTCCACAGCTACCAAGCCACAGACGCCGACAATAATTAAGTCAAGCACAATTTCACAGGCATCTTGTGAATAATGCTAGACCTAAATTAGTTTTTTCATAGACCTATCGGCACATATCGAACAGTCTTACGACGAATCTTTGAACCCCTCAAAGATGCAAACAGCGGGGAATGGAGAGTGAGAAGCAACAACTAAATTTATGAGCTGTTTAAATCACCACTGATCACGGGCATCATGACAGCTTATAGACTGAAATGGTTAGGGCATATTAAAAGAATGTCAGATAACAGAGAAGTAGAAACTGTAAACACGAGGAAGATAAATGGTCGTAGACCACGAGGTAGACCAAGAAGACGATGAAGAGATAATATCCAGACAGACCAACTGGAAAGAGAAGGCCGACCAGAGAGATGAATGGAGGCGGGTGATATCTGCAGCAATGAACCTCGGGGACTCGGAATGCTGAAGAAGAAGAAGAATCGGCACATGACTTGCAAAGTAATCAATATTTCATTGCGACCATTACTTCTAGAGAGTTTGACTGGTACCCTTATTGTTCACGGTCGAAATGAGAGTCAAGATAATTTTTTCCCGAATCCACCCAGTGTGGATTCGAACTTAAGACCTTCGGGGTGGAGGAGGAGCGTCTAGCCGCTAGGCTAAAGCGACTCCTAAATGTGTTTGATAAAGCTCATATTGTGTTGGTCTGTTATGTTTTCCTGCCCTGGCGTTCATGTTAGTAGTAATCTTATGTTCCCGTGGCGCATATGAGTGTGTGTGTGGGTTAATCATGTGTCTTTTTTATTTGATATTTTTTGGCGTATGCTTTTTTGTGTGTGTTAAAGTGTTAGTTATTCCTTTTTTTCCCTGCTTGTAAATTCTGGTTTATCTCTGACACCACATGTTGTTTTTGCTGTTCGAGAATTATAGTGCCACATTACTTACTTGTGCGACTGCTGGTATGTCGTGACTGTTGCTTCGTCGAGGGTGAGCTGAAATTACAAGGGTGGACTGTTAGTGTTCGCAGTTTTGGCATCTGCTTTATGCATGCAGTTCGTGTATACTGGTGATTTTACAAGACTGCAGTCAGTTTCAATAGTTTTCACAGGGGACGGAGATGGACATTCTATGTGGTTTTGGCTCGCACAAGCCTGGAGCAATTATTGGATAACTGGTTTGCGTGTAGTTTGTTCGGAGTGTAGTTAACCGATTGAAGTGTCCATGATCAGCTTTTTTTTAATCGACTATGCCAGTCAGCTAGTCTATAACCTGCTTACTATATTGCAGTTTTGTATTGGTTCAAATTTCCTGAACAAGATATTTATTTCCCTCATTTATTAAAAAATTTTTAGCGACATTCGCTGCAACTTTGTAACTTTTCCTGTGCAATCGTTAAAACTTCAAAACAAATGTGTTAATTCAATACTGTCCTGCGGTTTAGAGATTATGAGCGCTTTACACAATGGTTCTGTTTCTATGGTAGCAGTTTAAAGAAATATGATGTTTGTCACTTTCGGATCTGGTAAAAGAGTCACCACGGAAATAGATTTGGACATTTCTACGTAACGTTAATAAAAATATGTAGTGGATGCAAATATCCAATACAGCTCAATAACTTTCACTGTGGAGGCGGCAAAATTAAAATCCAAATTATATACCCAAATTTAGTTCTGTAGCGTATTACTTCAATTCATAAATACCATAATTTAGACATAACTTACCTAATAAATTTTTTTTTCTGTAGTAACACAGGTCAGTTTCTCTGTCTTACAAGACCGAAGATTGCGGAAACAAAGAAAACATTGGCGGAGGTAAAAAGGGAAAAGGGGGGGGGAACAGCAGTCCCTTTTTTCTATTAGAAGGGCCTCAGTGTGCTTAAGCCTTGTTAAGATAAGCTTTAGTAATAATAATAATAACAATAATGTAAATGGCAAATACATGTAATAATAAGTTTGAGAGTATATGAAATGCATAAACAAACTGTTCAAAAGATGCATATCTCAATGCACATGCTATGTAACTACCCCTACGAAAGAAAACTTTATGCCCAGAACTCGCAGAAAACATTCTTCAGGAAGTGGGAGGCTCTTCTCCACTTTCAATTACTCTGGTTGAACATGCGCCGGGGATAACAAAAAAAAAAAATGGTAAGGAGAAAACTTATCCCGGGGGGGAGGGGGGTGATAATCCTAACTGCCCGAGTACCAAGTTTCCTGCGTCCATAACAAGACCTACCATTAGCTATATTTCCAAGAAACACATTTCATCACTTTCCAGCCTACATCCAAACCATCATCCATCATTGTTCTAAAAGTTACGTTTCTACTAGCGCATTAGCCAGATAGAATATTAGATTGTTCTGGGACGTGACTATGTCCTGATTGAATCCCTGAAGTGGAAAGTTGACTACACTAAACCGGAGTCTTACATAGGAGTAGTCAGGTGAAGGATGAAACTATTTCCTAAGTAGTACATTACTGACAATGAGCACCATATAATCATCGTCATCCCTCGTGTGCCTTAGACGTCACACTGGTCTCGCGTTCGATTCTTCTACACTCTCTTTTGCTTGCAACTCTCTCGATTTCTGACATGGAGTTCAGCCCAGTGTTTTTAGCTTCTCGTATTCATGTTGTTCTTGACGTTCCCTTTGGACTTCACACCATTTTCTCCCCATTTTAGTGATTATAATTCTTTGCCCATTTCGTCTCAGTGTGTGCACAGTATATCTCCAACTTTTCTGTCTTATTACAGTCAGTACATGTATTTGTCCAGACATTTCTCTGATCTCCTCACTTTTTTGTTTTAATTTATCGCATGAACATAATACACATACAAATTAATTTACTTAGAATCAAAGCAAAAATGCCGGCCAAGAAAAACTCCGGTGCAGGCCAATCTTTGCGGGTCGCTGAGTGAATTACAAAAGGCAGTTAAGTTCATACTGTAGACAGTACTGCAGTTGAAGATAATCTATTTCAAGTGATCGAAATAGAATCTTTTTTTTTCAGACAGTTAGTCAAGCGACGCCTCCACAATGAAGGTTGATTCCGATGGCTATGCCACACGTTTTTATCATTATTGAAGCAGAGTATGACAGACTGCTTCTCGACAATATCTTTATGGCATTCCCATTTATAACGCTGTGTGCCTCTTGTTCGTCTCATGCTTACGTTAACTGAATGTATGTAAATTTGTTTTTATATTTAAGAGATGCATTGAACATCTGAAAACGCCATTATGCTAAAGACGTATTTCTAGTAGGATCTTCAAGTGATGTGAGAAATATGCTCCATTGTACGCTCTAGTATTTAGAAGTAACGTATCGTATCGTATAAAAGAAAACAAAAATATCAAGCTTAGTCATTTTTTAGCCGCCCGAAGGCCTGCTTTCTCAAGGACGGTTCCTTTGCTTTCTAATTTGAATTTGTTTCTTCTGTGGCGATCATTTTCGCCTAAGTTTCGATTTATTTGCAACATCATGTCAGCGTGGTCAGTCTTGGCGGGCAGTTTCCAGTTTTTTTTATAGTGTATCAGGCAGCCCTAAAAAGGACTGCCATTTTTGCCTGGAACGGGAATGGGCGGGATCTCCTCGTGGCTGGCTTCTGCTATCAGGTCTGTTAGAAGTAGCCCGCAATCAGTAGGTTTTAAAGCCGTTATGTGGAAAGGGGGTGGGGAGTCATACAGGATAAAACCCAGAGCAGAAAAAAAAAGTTGTAAACAATATTCTTTCCACGAAATACTAAGTATTTGGAAGTTGCACTAGTGCAACTAGCTTCGTAATGCCGGGGTGCCAGGTTCGATCCCAGCTGCGGACTTTGGGTCTTGCGTTGGTTTCGACAGTGGTATCGAGAAACCGACCGTCCAGAAAGCAGTGGCAAACTACTGGACAGGTTGGCCTAGAAATACCACAACAGCTAAAAAAAATGCTGGGTTGTTTCTGCAATGTCCTGTAAAGGATACGCAACGAACGTTTAACTAGTGCAGTGGCCAGTAGCCTGGCCGTCGGCATAAAGATCTTGACTTCAAATTTCACTTTTAAAAAATCCATTGACTTTTCGGTCGGCTTAGTTTAAAATGGGGAGCAGGAAATTAATAAGAATTAAAATTGTTGAACGCTACATCACCAATAGAGAGACGGTTAATTCGTCAGAAAAAAATCACTGCAGTACCCAGTATCGGGAACGGCGTCCCTGGCTTTGACGTTGCGAGTCCAACTCTTAATTCCAACGTACCGCGATAGAAACCCACTGCTGGCTGCGTGAATTTCTATCATGGTATGGGGTGTCGCAGGTCGACCCAGCCTAACATGGGTACCAGGATGGCTGTCCTGTGGAATTAAAGACGGCTTGCCAAAAGCTAACCACATTACCCACCTAATGCCGATTGGCGTCTAAAAATATGGGTGCTATTCCCATATACCCAATGTGCCTAAAGGCATGAAAAATGATCTTTATATTTATCTTTACCCAGTATTGGATGCACCGCTGGCATAGAAATGGTTCTTTACGTTATTTGTTTAAATTTGCTGATTATTCAACAAACAACACATAGTCGAGGACACA